CGTTAAAAGGTAAGACCTCGTTAATCCTTAGTTTAGCCTACCTTAGGGGTGCGACAGTTGGTTAACGGAAAAAACATATTTTAGCATATTTTAGAAACAATAAAAATTGTCATAGGACATTGACATACTTTGGTGAACCCACCAACCACATCGATTTTTTTTCTCAAATGAAGGACTTGTTTGTGTTTCCAGGACAAATAATAGTGTAAGTAAATTTATTGAAACAATGAAGACAAAACTTCAGTGTTGAATAGATCAGGGGTCGAAAGTTGACTTATGATTTTTGCCTAAAAATTTATGTAGGCCAAATCGGGAGAACTTTTTCCCAAACAATTGAAGAGACTTGAAGTTTCTTGAATGGAAACATGAATTCCACATTTGCAAACCATCTTTTGGCAAAGGGGCATACCTTCAATCATGACTCTGCAGTATTAGATTTGGAAGAGGAAGGTTCTTTGAAATTATTAGACGAGAATTGATGAAAATTTACGTTATCATAAAAGTCAATTGATTCATTTCCCCCTTCAAAATCTGTTTTCTGATGTGGATCATTCTATGAGTTGGAAACATTTTCATTCAAAATGTTTTTCACTAATAATTAAGTAGAGTTACGTCAGTATGAAAACGCATGAAGAAGCTACTGTATAGCGAAATACGTGTTACAATGTTATAAACTGTAAATTGAAAATATCACAATGAAGTATAACTTGATTACGTTATGGATTTTCATTGAGAATCGGCCGATTCCATCACATATTCAACATTTATTTCATCTCTTGGTTTCAAGAGAAACTTCACATCATTAGGTGGTTGAAATATTTTTCTGACGTTCAAAACCACACCAAGACGAATTTTTGAACTATTGTTTACTCTCTATTCATAAATAAGAAGTACATAACAGTAGTAATACATGACCTAGATAAACTCCAAGAAAAAGTCAAATTGACATTCACATCGAAAAATATAAATGAGTGTTTTTTAATGGCACATGAGAGTGTGCCAGTTCAGGACAGTCCCAACTCCCTACACTGTAGGTTAATGGAACGAATTGTTCCTTTGGATAATTTGATTCATAGCCAGTCTTCAAGTATGCCCACTGACTATATGTGAAAAAGTTTTTCCTTATCCGAGGAATTGGGCAAATTTCGGATATGCGGTTGGTGACCTCGTTCACAGGCAGATGGGGCGATGACAAACCTATTGTTTGTTGTCCGCTTCAGCCTAGTTCGAAGAATGATACTCTTCGATTTTCAATTATCGGAAATCGTCTCCTTTATATTGATGACAGACACTACCTTGCACCGACGAGTGGTCAAACAGCCCGAAACCGGTCTGCAAGTGTGTTCCAATTATTGAAAATTTAATGCGGCAGTTATATCACCAACAGAATATGCAGAAATAACTTCAGTGAAGAATCCTGCACTGACACCTGTCGGATATGATATGATAGGTGTCAGTCCATTAACCTTTAGTGTAGGGAGTTGAGACTGGCCTGAACGAATTGTTCCTTTAGATGATTTGATATTGAAAATAAATACTTCCAATACATCTTGACGTGGATTTGTGTCCCGACAAGTCATCGCTTTCAAACTAGGGAAGACCGGGGCTACAATTAACAGAGATAAGTATTAACGAGTAAATTTCTCTATAACTATACACACTACATCTCCAGTTATCTCAATTTGACAACTCGATAGCGCCGCATGCCACAGCCGTCGGTTAGTTGCGCTCCGCACGTCATCTAAGTGAGTTGTCTGCTGGCCGATATTTCTAAGCAGGTAACGATCTTTTAAGTGTTCACAATTTTTTTATTTGTACAATAATTATGAAGTGTTATAATTATGTTTTTTATTTCCCTAAAAGCATATTTTGTACTTAACAATTCTAAATTTCTTATTTACCATCACTATTGACCAATATTTTATTATGCTATTTGATTCTTGAAGTGTACCTTTGGGGCTATAATTAACACATGGGAGGGGCTGGAATTAACTTGTTAATACCTACTCCAGATGTGGGGGCTAGTATCAACAGAGTAGCTGAATGTTCGAGAATCATTATTTTATATGTTTTTTCTTTAGGTATGACAGCATGAGAACTTATAAACGGACAAATATGCGTGGCACCACATCAATAGAGGTTTGCGAGCTGGCTGCGGTAGATATTATTGAGAAGAAAAGAAATTACAGGGATGTCGCAAAAGAATTTGAGTTCTGCTACGTTTCTCTTTTTGATTTTGTGAAACCCCTTGATGTCGAGGTTTATGGGCCATTCAAAAAGTATATGAATAGAGCACAAACTTCTTGGATTACTAATAACCCTGGAAAAGTAATGTCTATATATGACCTCCCTGGAATTGTTAAAGAAGCGCTACCGTTGGCTTTAAACCCTACGAATATAATAAACGCTTTTGAAAAGTCTGGCATCTGGCCGTGCAACTAAGATATTTTTCAAGAATCTGACTTCGCCTCCTTTTGTCACGGACCACCCAGACCCCAGCGATCAAAACCAGTCACTAGTTCCTGAACCAACTGTTGATAATGATGACGTTAATATTGATGATCTGTCACTAAATTTGTATAACCCTGAAGTTTTAGACGAAGTAACAAATTTAGATATTAACGTGACTGATGTTATATCGAAAATGCCTTGTGAACCAATAGCTGGACCGTCAGGCATGCATAAAGAGCTAGTGATTTTGCCGTTGAAACCATAAGATCTCTTCCAAAAGCTCCACCACGAATTACGTCAAATAGAAAACACGCTAAAAAATCTACTATTCCTACCGATACTCCGGAAACGAATGCACTAGAAGAAGAACCTAATATTAGAGATAAGAAAAAGAGGAAAATCACATTGAAACACCAGAATGAAGAAAGCAAATAAGATAATGGAAAAGATAAAGGAGAGGCTGAAGGAAAAGTAAATGAAGACGAGAAAGTAGGAAAAGTGAGGAAAAGGATATTAAATGAAAGCAATAGCTCTAACGATTTTTATATCATTTTTTATATTATTTGCGGTGCCTCCTATAATGAAGATACATCAGGTACTGAATGGATCGAATGTATCTCTTGCAGGGACTGGGCGCAAGCAGGATTTATTAAAGGTGATAACACAGCATTCCGTTGTTTCAATTGTAATTCAGATGATGAATACGAATAGATACTCTTTCAGTTCGTAGGTATTTGAAATAGTTCCTGATCCTTTTGTACTAAACTACATTTTATACAATAGTTTCGTCTAAAGACGATGATAATTAAGTTCAACGATGTTTATTAAAGAATCATTACCTAGCTTTTGAGATGAAAAATGTTCCATTTTCCACCTCATCGTATGATGTTGTTTAAATAATACAGTGTCACCGATAAAGTCCGCATCAAATGGGAAACTTTTTTATTTATCGTTTTATGAGAAATTTGATTGTGGCAGTAGATTTTGCTTAAGAAATGATGTCAAATGGCGTCTACAAAATAGGTCACGTGATTTCCTTAACCTGTCAAAATTGACATTTAAAAAAAGAAACATCGGAAAATGACATTATTCTTCAAAATATCCAAAAATATCAAAGGATAAAAACATTTTCTTTTGTAATTCATAATTTCATTTATTTTTACTAAACTCGTCACCGAATTTCTTTTTTTGTAATATAATAATATTTTAAGAGCCTCTTTGATGTTAAAAACAAATTTTGAAAAATAAAAGTTGTCAAACTTGATGCAAAGTTCATCTAGTTTCAACGGGGCTTTCCAAACTATACAGTACTTGAGTTTTTTAATGAGCAAATGGCCTCACAATATGAATTAGAACAAAACGGAACATTGGGAAACAATATCTTAGAGTGTTTATTGTTTTTTTAACAAGAAATACAGTGGAATTTAATCTTAATTAAAAGGAACTGAAAATAAACATGTACCTATACCTAATAGCAAAAAAACACGAAAAAAAGACTCACGACATTAAATACACTACATTTCTGTATGTCTTCCATCGCGTTCTATGCAGATAATTGTCCTTCTTGATACATCTTTTATTGAGTTGCTGATACTCACAGGGTTTATGTTTAAAATAGAGTTTCTAATAACAGTTTCTAGGTGATTCACGTCACGAAAAGGTCTTTGTTTATAAACGATTGGTTTTAAGTAACCCCACAAGAAAAAATCTAGTGGGGTTAAATCTGGCGACCTAGGCGGCCATATTTGCTCTATATTTTGCCCAATAACTTTGCCTCTAAACATTTCTAATAGTTTCTCTTTGACTTGTCTTGAACTATGAATAGGAGCCCCGTCACATTGATACCACAGACTGTGTCTTATTTCAACCGGCATATTGTCCACTATATCACTGATCTCAGTATTTAGAAATTGCAAATAATCCTGAGAAGTTAAATTGTGTCTAAAAAAGAATGGTCACATTACCTGATTATTTAAAACACCGCACCACACATTTGTTTTAAATGAATATTGGTCCCGACATTCTATCACAAAATGAGGATTTTCCTGAGCCCACCACCTACAATTCTGGGAAGTGACTACGCCGTTCGATGTGAAGGTAGCTTCGTCGGTCCATAGGATTTCGTAAGGAAATTTTCTGTTTAATTCTACTTCTCCTTGGTACAAGAAAGAGAAATCTAGTCGAACATCGAAATCTCTTTCCTTTAAACTCAATGGTTTAATTAACAAAAAGTATGTTTCTCGTTATGTTAACAGTGAAAACTTATGACACTCACTAAATCTGGTGTTATGCTCATCAGCCCCAATTAATATTAAGAAGAGATAAATCTAATGAAAATTTATAAAAAGATTGTTGTCTTGAGGTACTCCCACTAATAATATCGTCTTCTCTAACGAAAGATATATCAGGTACGTCGGGAAATCGACATTTGTGTTCTACATTTTGTCTTAAAAAAGTAATGTGGTATTCTAAATCCTCGTTTCTAGTTATTACATATTCACCTTCTTGTGGCAAATGAGGTAAAGGTTTCTTCAAATCGTTATTTGTTATTGTCGTCTGAATCCTGCAGTTGAATTTCAATATCATCATCAGAGTCACTCTGCATTATTTTTTTTACTGTTTTTCTTTTCTTTGTTTCTTGTTTTCTCCTGCTTGCAGCTTTTTCCATCTCTATTTCAGCCTTCTCTGGCGTATCTGTTGCTATCAAGCTTCGGCCAAGTTTCCTCTATTTTCTGTTTGATTTCCTTGGCCCAGCTTTAATTGGATTCCTAAACTCGAATGGTGATTTAAAAGATTCAGTATTATTTTTAGACGTTGATGACGTAGGCAGTTCACTTTCATAGACATTTTTAGAACTCTCCTTAGTAGGTGTAACGCTTGACGACGTGAAAGGCATGTGTTTTGGTGAGGCTGTTGCTGGTAATGATATAGGGCTCAAATGAAATACAGCTTCTTCACGCGGAGAACATTCCGGGCACGGGCGATCAGTAACCGTACTTGGTAAGAAGTCATTATCACTGAAAATCAATTTGTCGAATGGAAATATACCACATTTTCTGAAAGCATTTGTTATATTACAAGGGGTCATAACTTTGAGAAAAGCCGATCCAACAAGTTCACCAATATCATAAATGGTAACAGGCTTTCCGGGGTTTCGCAACATCCACGATTCTATTGCCGCATTGTAATATGTTTTGAAAGGTCCAAATATTCCAACGTCAAGTGGTTGTAATTTGCCAGATGTATGTGGATGCAATGTGAGTATGTGGACTCCTGATGCTTTAGCCAAATCTAAAGCCTCGATGGATGA